AGGGTCATCCATTTCTCTTGTTGAACGGTATAGAAGTCCCAACATTTTTTGTGCTTTGGCAGCAATGTTATCATCGTGGTCGTTCCAACCAAGATTACTGTGTAGCCAAACTCCTAGATCTTTTTCGGATTATACGATGTTAAGAGATTCGCCCCCTGTAGTGTACTCTCGATCGAAAACAGTATGAGTACAGGCACTCTCAAAATTTTACATTTGCTTATATTAAAGTTCATTCCCCAAGTAATGGACCGGTCATATAGAGCATCAAGATCTGCTTGTAGTTTATTCTGGTCTGCACTCCCAAAAATAAATCGGAAGCATTTGGAATCATCGGCAAAAGGGGGTAAGTATGTTCCATCATTAATAACATCTGGCATATCGTTTATATATATTACAAAAAGGAGCGGTCCCAAGACCGATCCCTGGGGCACTCCTGATGTCATTGGAAGCCACTCTGAAGTATGACCATCAAGGACAACACGGTGACGTCTGTATGAAAGGTAACTGCGGAACCATGACAGTAATGGATCCCGAATCCCAATAGCATGGAGCTTGTGGAGAAGTTTATCATGTGGTACTCTATCAAACGCCTTCGAAAAATCCAAATAAACTAAGTCAACCTGTTTCTTTTTGTCAAGGGCGCTAGAAAGTAAATGAACTACTTGAAGTAGCTGGGTAACGGTGGAACGGCCAGGAAAGAAGCCATGTTGCCAAGGGGTTAGCTTTGGTGAAACAAAGTCAAACAATCTACCAAAAACACCTTTCTCAAGGATTTTTGACAGTTGATCGATCAATGAAATTCCTCTATAGTTAGAGACAATTGACTTTCGTTCAGCCTTATGTATCGGGACAAGATTAGCATCTTTCCACTGATTTGGAAAAACACCAGTACTAAGTGACTTGTTGAATAAAGTAGTTACAGGTACAGTAATTTCTTCAGAGCATTCTTTAAGAAGCCGTGAAGGGATACCAAAGCTAGCCTTGTTTACGTCAAGATACCGAAGAGCTTTGCTTTAAAATCACAGATAAAGATAACGTCAACTAGCCTTACAACAAGGAAACGATACATTATTTAGATACTATAGGAATCTTGTTAATCGCAATCGTAAGAAGTGTAGGGGGAATTATTATGCAAGCAAAATAAGCCATTTAAAAAATTCCAAACCAAAGAATTGGTGGAGAGAAGTCAAACAAATTTGCGGTCATGCACCATTAAATAATCATAAAGACCTTCCATCCCTTCTCGCTGTTGATGACACCGATCGAATGTCCCTCGACGACCAAGCAAATTTAATAAACAACACCTTTTTACAACCGCAGCAAGCGTATCAACCACTTGATGAGTCGGTCAAAATACATCGGCAATTAGATCAAACATATACCGCATCTTTTTTCGGTTATTCCTGCCGATACGGTGCAAGTAACTGAATTTGACACATTTACGAAATTGAAAGCTCTCAACCCAAACAAAACTCCTGGACCTGATGGTATACCCCCTTGGGTTTACAAAGAATTTGCAGAAATTTTGGCATATTCCATTAGCCTTATTTTAAATTGTTCTTATAAGCAAGAAAAACTACCGTCGGCGTGGAAAAAGGAAAATATTTTCCTGTTCCTAAAAATACACAAGTAACAGACATTAACAAGCATTTACGTCCTATTTCTTTAACACCAGTTGTGTCTAAATTGTCCGAAGAAGTTATTCTTGAAAGACAACTTAAGTCAGCAGTTCTAAAAGTCATCGACTCCAATCAGTACGGTGTTGTACCTAAGTCATCCACTACGTTGGCCTTGATCTCAATGATGCATAAATGGCTGCTAGCCACGGACGAACCAGGTAACACGATTCGTACAGTGCTATTCGACTTTCGAAAGGCGTTTGATCTTCTTGAACACAACCGTTTGATAACGAAATTAAAATCTCTCGATCTTCTCTCGAATTTGGCCGAACTCAATGAGGATAAATGTAAAGAGCTCAGAATTGATTTTTCGCGGAAGCAAACTCTAACAAATCATCTCAACCCCATCCGAGTCAACGGCAAAGAGATTGAGGTCGTAAACCACGCGAAAATACTTGGTCTTACAGTCAGCAGTGACTGCAAGTGGAAAATGCAGGTTGATAACATCGTATCCAAGGCCAGTAAGCGACTATATCTAATCACACAGGTAAAGAGAGCTCGAGTTCCTGCAAATGAAATTATTCAAATATATTGTTCATGCATTCGCCCGTTACTGGAATACGCCTCACCTGTCTTTCATAATTCCTTACCGCAATATTTAAATTTGGATATTGAAAGAGTTCAAAAACGATGCATTAAAAGAATATTTCCTGGCGTTTCATACGAAGAAGGCCTCAAATTAGCTAAACTAGAAACCCTGTGTGATCGCCGATCGGAAGCGTGCAAAAAACTATTTCTCCAAGCCTATTCTGATACTAGCCATAAACTACACAACCTGATTCCAAAGGAGAACTCATGCCAATATTCCCTAAGAAGAAGCCGTAAAGTTTTAGTGCCAAGAACTAGAACCGATCGTTTTAAAAACTCCTTTGTCATTTCTAACAGTTCAAATATGTAAAAAATCTAGGTAATCTTGAATGTATATATTCTTAATGTATTCCCATTTGAATTTTAGAAAGCTATTTTGATCAAACTTTTTAACTAATCCATAGGTAATCTATTTAGACTAACTATTCATTTCTTGCAAATATTCGTAGATAATTCAGTGCACAGTTCTTCTGTAACTGCAAACTATGAATCCATTAAAGTCACTATCACACTATTACTTGCTGACGAAATCCCTCTCAATGACAATATCAGATAATACACCATGTGTGGTATAGTTCAGATTAGGCAAAAGTACACCAGATTCACCAGCAACTGGGGTATTAAATACGGAATGAAAATCATTATTAAATAAATTCGCCTTAAAACGTGGCTCACGTTGTTGATGACTTTATAGTACGTTGATGACTGTTGATGACTTTATAGTACGACCAAAATCGTTTCGGATAATCTTTAAGTGATTGACCCAAGTTGGTAATATAAACTTTCTTTTTGTACTTGATAAGTTTCTTTATATCAGCACTCAAGCGGCGAAAACGTGACCACAAGTTAGCGCTGTCATGGACTTTAGCCTTGCGCCTAAGATTATTCTTCTTACGCAATAAGTGAACGATTTCTCTGTCTACCCAAGGTAGCTGGTGGATGTCGCGAACGCGTACCTTTGCTACATATTGATTAGCAATTGATGTAAAAACTTGTTGCCATTTTTCACAACTTTCGTTAACATCTTCGTTATCCAGCAAAACGTTGTCCCAATCAATGAAGCGTAAAGATTGCCTCATACCATAGAAATTTGCATTATAAACAGTACGTTTTGTTTTCTTTTGACGCTTGACTTTAGCTTTAATGCAAAAATTAACAACCAAATGATCGGACTAAACAATATCCGACTCAATTCTCAGTTCTGATACATTATCAGGGAAATTGCATAAAATTAAATCCAGAATAGACCCCACGTTATTTTGTTGACCAGAATATCTAGTTGGTGCATCCACTACTTGGGTTAAAAAGTAGTTGTTTACCAAATCACAAAAATCATTTGCACTTCCAGAGTCTTGTGTATCAGAAACTGTACCCCAATTAATATAAGGGAAATTAAAATCGACGGGAGTTATCATCAGGATTAACCTTGGCCAATAAAGAAGCAAACGGTTCAATAAAGTCATCATAGTCTGGAGGCCGATAACATACACAAATAGTTAGTTTCTTTGCATCTTTTGGCAATAAGTCACAAACAAGAATCTCGGCATCAGGTTCAATTTCATCTCTTCTGAAACTCAAAATACTAGATTTAACAGCTAAAAGAAACCCCTCCACCGCGACGTCCGTCACTACGATCCCGCCTATAGACTCTATACTGATTGCCAGGTAGTATTTCGCAATCTTTAATATCAGGCTTAAGCCACGTTTCTGTTAAAGCAATAAAATCGAGATCATTCCCAAAAACCAGAGCCTGAAACTCGATTAACTTGTTACACAATGATCTTGCAACTTAACATATTTTTGTTGCTAGTGTTGTTCATAGTTCTCGACATTGTTCTTTTTCAGATGAAATTTCTCTTTTGATATCCAAGGTTTGCATACAGCAAATTTGGGCCAAAAGTTATCTCTGGTAATGGTTTCGACATCAGCAACGCATACATTAACTTTAGCGGAGACTGTGCCTTTACGTCGACTGGGGAAAACTCGTAGTAATGTCGGGGAAATTCCTCTTCCAGATAAATAATCCGAAATAGTCTCAGAAGTCTCTCTTCTCCGCAGAGGCTTACATGAAGTTTCTATTGAGTTTCTATTTTTCTATTTTGTTTATGTTTTTATCTTCGCTCTTTCGGCCGATTATTTTTTCAAAAATATATATTTTTAACCATTTTAAATTTTAAAAATTTATTTGCTAACCTGAAACAATTTGTGGGAGTTTTTTCATTGTGTTTTTAATCCTGCAAAGCTATAAAAAGCGACAACTTGCCGTTTTCTCGTTTGCAAAACATCGTAAATTCAGTTTGACCGCCATTTTGTTTTCTCTACCAGCAGGATATGAGCTAATATCCTGCTAGTAGAGAACCAATCAGATTGCAGAATACCTCGTATCCAGACCTTGTGTATCTTGCCTTTTTAACGACCGTTTCACTTGACTGCATTGAGCCAGAATTTTCGGCGGAATAGTCAGAACTATTGCTGCTTGTTAGGGTGATCAGTCCATTATTATTATTGCTTATTGAGGCGTTCGATCCATTGTCCTGGGATACAATTGTACAATTGTCTACATCCGTTTTATTTAACAATTGTAATGAGGGTCCACTGGGACAGTGTGACATATGCAAATATTGCACGAGTTATTTTCGTTTTGCTTCTGAAGTGAAGTAATCTCGCTATCCTGGGTTTTGATAATTACCAACAGTTCTTCGATTTTGTCTTCGAGTCCTACAAGTTTTTTCGACACTTCCTCCTTAAATTAAAGAGTTGGAATTCATTTTGAATACAACAGATTTGGTTTTTCATTCCAGTCCAACCGTTAGATCTATCTTGTATAAAAGGACTTGGAGCTCTCTTGTTAACTTGAATTGTATTATGGTGTTCTTCAACCGAAGTGACGGCCATATTATCGAACATATTCCGTATTTCTGAAGTAACAACTTCTGTTTCTAAAAAGTTTATTAGTTCAGCTACATCACCAGACAAACGTTCTTCAAGACAGCTGCTAGTGCTTATTCCTTTGGGCTTTCGCCTTGACCGAAGTTCTCCTTTAGGGAAACCTTGAACAGCTTGACACTTTTCGGCTAACAACAATTTCATACTTGTCAGGGTTTCAACCGAGCTAATTAATTTCTTAACCACAACTTCCTTAGGTTGAGTTTTAAACTCGTTGATAATATCATTTAACTCTGCCATAGTCATTTATATAGGCTTATCATTCTTGCTCGTCTGCATTGGCATAAACAACCATATCATTCGTTTGATCGATCAGTCGACTGGTGTAGAAAATACGTATGTTTCTACAGCGAAGCGTCCTCAACTTCGCAAGCCAGGCGCCTGGAGTCCTTTCCTTGCAAATTAAATATGATCCAGTTTCTCGTTTGAAAAGTAACGCAACACTTATTATTGATGACATTCAGTATGTAGCAGGAAGTCGTGTCATGGTAAATACGAATTTTATAGAACAGTTTCTTTCACTATTTATTGTTTCAAATTACATTTTTATCGCCCGAAACTATAACACATAAAGTTGCAATTTTCCAAACGCAACAAACTGACTCCTCTACTACCTCTCCCTAAAGGCGGTTTTCGACTAGGCGAAATTTTTCGATCGAATCGAAATTTTCTTTTGTCTTGCAAGCACTCAGATGGAACTAAATAGAAACATTTGAATAATAGAAATTTCGGTTCGATCGAAAAATTTCGCCTAGTGGAAAATCGCCTTAAGGCCTATTCCAATTTACCCCACGAAATCCGCAGGGTCACGTGACCAGTTCCGACCAGGGTTTTCTAGAGGGGAAAGCCTGGGAACGAGGTTGGGATGAATGTCCCTGGAAGAACGTTCTTCGCAACACTGCTATTGTAAAAAGAAAATCAAGAAAATTCATTTTATGAACAAAGCTTATTTATGAACAACCCAACACTGTGGGGGAGCTATTCCTATGTGATCCAATTAATTGTTTATTTGGTGTTGAAAAAGCAGAACAAGTGTTTTACTGAAAGTTGCTTTTCTATGTTTCCTCACGTGATTTTGCTCTTGCTGAGGCACGGTGTTGTTGGCTATGTACCTTCGTATGCCGTAATGAATTCCCTAATCTCGTAAGGTAGAATATGCCCTTTCATAGGTTGGAAATTGAAATATGATACTTTGAAGTATTACTGTCTATCAGCTAGGGCCTGTTGTACGAAGGCCCGGTCGATAACGCTATCCACCAGATAAGTGTTTGTTTTTTTCAACCGTTGAAAATACAGATCCGTATGAAACTGCAGATATGAGCCTCACAATTGATAAAAAGAAACTTTAATTTATAAATATTAAAGTTTAAATCTGGTTACACCAGTCAACGGAAAATTTTAGAAAGCTTGATAAATTACTATTTGGTACATAGTGCCATTCCGCCTTCATGCAACCGGCCCCCTGCCATGCAGGCATCATCGACGGCACAGATACCATCGACATCAAATATCTTCAGAAATATGTTTTATCGGAACTTAATCTGTAGCAATCATGTTTTGTGGGTCCTGCAAATACATCTTGACAGTTATGACGGAGAAAGCAGAAAAATATTTTTTAAAAATGCGAGGATTTAATTATGACAGTACGAGTGATGCCATCGAAGTATCTGCATTATTGAGAACTCGCAGTAAATTTGAATGAACTTATTATACATATGCATATTTCCTAACCCAGAGCAGCTGCGGTAAATTAATGCAACCATCGGCTTTCCAGAGTCGCAAAAAAACAACCCTGTGGGTATATCGAGCTACAGAATCCAGTTATCTAGCATTAGCCACAATCATGTTCTTGTATCTGCCTCGTCCCCAATAGCTTAAAGAATAAATTTCTTTGATTTGTTTATATGAATTAAATAATTTATGAGGCGCGCGGAATAATAATGAAGGGGGCGCGAGGAATTGCGGCGTGCGTCTTTATCAGGCTGGCATTGCCCGTACGGTCGAACCATCGATCTATATACATGTAATTGATATGTACCACAAGAATAGCCTGCGAAGGAGGCAGTTCTTGTATACCAGCTAAGGTCGTGCTAGTGTAAGGTGTATATGGGAAAATATTTTGGAAGTCATAGCTCGATATAACTGACTGTTATAAGGGTTTGCATCTTGTATATATTTGTTTTCAAACTATATGTAAAATGTTGTAAATCTATGTTTTCATTGTTTGTAGGTTCAATATCCGCATCTACACATGTCGTAACGACGACAGTAAATCAATCGTCAACAGTAAAAGGTGGTATGTGTGAAGTGTTTATGAAACTGACTTACTTTGTTTTAATAAAACAAAACTACAACGACGTAGCTATCATAGGCGTACCGGGCGGGGGCGCGGGGGCGGTAGCCCCCCCCCCAGTTTGTTGGGCAGTCGGGCAATATTCGATAAACAGTCGGGCAATTTTGGTTTGTAATAAAAATAAATGGGACAAATTCTGTCAATTTAGTTGGAAATTTAGTCAATTTTGTGGTCAATTTAGTGTTGTTTCGAAAATTTGTGTGATGTTCAGAAAAATTTTGGTATGTCCGGAAAAATGTTTTGACCCCGAAAATGGTACACTGACCGAAAATTTTTTGGCGACGGGGGGGGAGGAGGTCGCCGAAATAATTTTTCCGGAAAAAATTTTTCGGTACTAGTCGGGCACAATCCCGAAAAGTCGGGCAAATTTCTTTCCGCCCCCCCTAATTTTTTCCTTCCGGTACGCCCATGGTAGCTATTAAGTAACTAGACTGCTTTTTCCATGCACAGGAAACTTATTGAAATCCATTTAAATTTTACTCTGGATTACGATGTTAGCTAATGCCGTTTATGACTAGCTTACATTGGTGTAGATTTGTCCAGGAATAGATTACATAGCTGTTACTATACTGTAAAATTTAAATCACTCGTCAATAAACATGATTTTCATCCAAATGTGGGAGATTTGTTTCACTACAGTATAGCCTTTCATATATATTATTTAAATAAAGCTCAATCACGAAATCCATTTATGATCAAATAAGAGTTCAGATGTTTTAATCTGGAGGAAAATTTCTGCATTTATCATATTCATTTTGAAATCATGCGCGATTCAAGCAATCTGATTGGCTAAAAATAGTGCCATTACAGCCCAAATCGCACTATTTTAGAGCTGTAATGACACTATTTTGAGCTTTGCTCGCATCAACATGAGTTGCAATCGCATACTTTTTAAACCAATCGTATTGAGGTTGTCTTAATTCTGTAAACTAACCAATCAAGTTAAAGAGGCAAATGAACAAAAATTCAAGCTTTTTAATGATTTAAATGCCCCCAGTTAATTCGTTTTAAAAATGGATGAATTCAATGACTTACAATTTCTTCTTGACGATGATATTGAGCTCTTGCAAACTGCAAATTTGTATGACGAAAATAGTCCGTTATTTGGCAGAACCACAGAAAGTTTTCCTTTGAATAGCGACGTTTTGTATCCTCGCCAGTCCAATAAAGGCAATATAAATGCGCCCAAAACCACACCAAATGAAACTTCAAAACAGCAAAGTAGATGTTTCTAGATTTCCTGAAGTTCACATTAACAATATAGAAAAACTACGGTCTTTGGCTGTAAATACAAACACGTCTCGGTCGACCAAACACTGGATGAATGTGTTTAAATCCTGGTGACATCGCGACGTATGTCGCAAAATGTAAACATATATTGCAACAATGCCATGCACCGAAAGACCTTGACAACTCCTTGGGAAATTTTACGCAGAAATAAAAAAAACCAAGATGGTGCATGGAGACTACGAGCCAGAATCAGTGAGGGTTATTCAGTGTGCTCTTGAACGGTATCTTAAAGAAAAAGGGTTTCAAATAAGTATTCCACGCGGTAGAGATCGAGTTTCGGAAATCACAAGAAATAGTGAACGCGAATTGAAAGCCATTTTTCTTCGCCATCAAGGACATGGAAAGAAACTAAATAAAACTCAGCCATTGAGTCCAGATGAAGAATCAGCGTTATGGGAAAAAGGACAGCTGGGTGATTTTAATGCACGGGTCCTGACAAACACTAATTTTAAAAACTTAACCGAGCATTTTGGTTTACGCAGCCGCCAGGAGCATTACGATTCAGGTGGAGGACTTCATTGTAAGACAAAAAGAAGATGGGAGTGAAGTCGTTGAATTTCGCGAAGGTCTTACAAAAACGCGAAGTGGTGGTTTCCGTATACGACAAAGAACGACACCCCAGCCGGTAAAGGGAAAACCCTTACTCCTGTTCAACACGCGCACAAACGTAAACAACTCAAAGAAATATACAATGTTAACCGAAGTTCGATGTCGAATATACAAGGGACTCTGTCCGCCCGCTAGGAGAAACGTACTGTTCAGTGCAGAAGTTGATTATACAACCACCAAAGCGATTCTCCTTTTTTAATTTATAAGGCATATAGTTTGTCCATCAGACGAGATGAGCCTGAAATGGACTGTCTCGCCGTTGCTGCAGAAATATTAATGCAAATAGGGCCGTAGAAAATTAAACGTTGTAAAGAAAATATTAGTCCCAGAGAGAAAAGAAAAACAATACAAACCTCGCCAAATTCGATCAGATATCCACCATCGTAAACAGCGCGTATTGACGAAAGAAATTGTCGATTTTCAGCCAGATCATTGCAGTTTTCCAACGGCAAATATATTTAAATGTTGACCCGAACGTATGTGTTCCGTACGTCGCGATTATTTTAAGAAACATGCAAAACTACTGTAATATTAACAAAAAAAACCCAGCCTTTTGCCGGAGAAATATGCAACTACGTACGTAACTGAAATCGGTGTTTAAAATATTACATACTAAGGTGATGGCAGTGTAGGGTGCATGAGTAAATATTCAAGATTTTGGGCATCATAGCAAAAATGCAACTGACTTTTGAAGGGCTTGCATCTTGTATATGTTTTCAAACTATGTAAAATGTTGTAAGTTTATCTTTTAATGTTGCAGGTACAATGTCCGTATCTACACATGTCGTAACGATGACAGTAAACCAATCATCAACAGTAGAAGGTGATATGTGTGAATTGCATATGAAACTGAGGCCTGTTTTATACGTCGCACTATCGTCGAAGTTAATTCAGACGAATTTAATTGAACGAATTAAATGCGACGGTAGTGCATCGTATGAACGTATTCATTGTCTGTTGAATTAAATTCGTCCAAGACGTTTTATCC